GTTGGGAATTATTTATGTACTATATTCATCAGAATAAAGTTTTTGGTGCCTTTTATGTCATTGGCCTCGAAATTTAAGCTTTGCATCTACTTTATGGCTACTTTTTTAGAACCTGACTTTTTAGTGGTTGCTTTGACACAGATGAATGAAACTAAGGTGGTGTTTGGTTTGTGTCTCAAAACCTATTTTTTGTTCTCAAAACACAATTTTGTGAGATGATGTTTGGTTAGTAGTTTCCAAAAACAAATTTTCAAAAAAAGTGAGAAATGAGAACAAAAAATAGAGAATATATAAATAATATTTTTTGAGTTTTCAGGTCAAAATAGAAAACAAGGGAAACAGTCTCTCCTCTTTAATGAAGTCCACCCATCAAACTTCCTTAACAGTAAAATGCATTTTTTTTTTTGAATCATAAAAGCCCTCCACTTATATTTTCTCCATCTCCTCTTTCTCTCTCTCTCTCTCTCTGTGCAACGGAGATCAGAGCAATGAAGATCGCTGCTCTATCGCTGGAGTTTCTCTCTCCACTTCAGCAAATCCAGACGAAACACACACACGATCTGGGTTTAAGAACTGCAACGATCTCCGGGTCTTCTCCGTCCTCTCCAATTCTTTTTTTTTTTTTCTGCATCTGGGTCCAAGACACACATACACACAGATCTCCGAAGTCTTCTCTGTTTGTGTACTCAGATCTGCATCTTTCTCTCTCTCTCTCTCTCTCACAACAATTGAAGCTTCAAATCTGCACAGATTTGTGTATATACACTGATATGTGCTCAGATATATGTATATACAGATATGTGTGTATGCGTTTGTGTGTGTGTGTGTCTGTGTGTATATGCGCGCGTGTGTGTTTTGTGAAGATAGAGAGAAGGGAAAGAAAGATAGAGGTGAGAATTGTGGGTTTTGTGAATTATTTTACAATTTTTTGTTCTTTAAAACTATTTTCAAAAAAATATAACCAATAAGTTTTGCAATCTAAAATTTTCAAGAACACTTTCTTAAAATTCTTCTCAAAAACTATTTTCGGATACTGTTTTTTGAGATGCAAACCAAACAGGCCCTGAAATTCTTTGGATTTAAGCTACCCCTGAATAATTATTCTTACATTTTTCTATATCCTGCTGGCTGCAGTTTCCTTGCCAAGATACTGGCACCGGAAGGCTCAAAAGACGTGGCCGTGGGACAACCCATTGCAATAACAGTAAGTTGTTACAATGCTTGAAATTGTATGNAATTTTTCTATATCCTACTGACTGCAGTTTCCTTGCCAAGATACTGGCACCGGAAGGCTCAAAAGATGTGGCTGTGGGACAACCCATTGCAATAACAGTAAGTTGTTACAATGCTTGAAATTGTATGGCATAATTTTCTTCTNCATTTTTCTATATCCTGCTGGCTGCAGTTTCCTTGCCAAGATACTGGCACCGGAAGGCTCAAAAGACGTGGCCGTGGGACAACCCATTGCAATAACAGTAAGTTGTTACAATGCTTGAAATTGTATGGCATAATTTCCTCTTTCATGAGCTGCAGGTCGCATTTTTTTGCCCATTAATTGAAGCTATGGGGATTACTTCCATTTTAGTTTTCCTGACAGTTTCTTGATTACTAGAATCCAACAATCCATATCTATCTCTANTCATGAGCTGCAGGTCGCATTTTTTTGCCCATTAATTGAATCTATGGGGATTACTTCCATTTTAGTTTTCCTGACAGTTTCTTGATTACTAGAATCCAACAATCCATATCTATCTCTAAATTGTATAGGTATTGTAGGTGTTCTGGGTATATGGGAACTGATGTCATCTGTTTTGCAAGGTTGAGGAGCCAAATGATTTGGAAACTGTGAAGACATCTTTTAGTGGCAATTGGATGGGAAAAGAGGAAAAGCCAACCCATCACGAGGCAAAACATGAAGGGAGAACACAGAAAATTAGTTTCACTAGGATTAGTCCATCAGCAAAGTTGCTAATTTTAGAACATGGATTGGATGCATCATCATTAACAGCGTCAGGTCCTCGTGGCACTCTCACAAAAGGGGATGTTTTAGCTGCAATAAAGTCTGGCAAATCATCTCCAAAGACATCTTCATCGCTGGAGAAGATGCCTCCATCACCTCAAATCCACCCACAAAAATCTTCAGAATCGGCAGGATTGAGATCTCAAGATTCTTATGAAGATTTGCCTAATAGTCAAATTCGGAAGGTAATTCTTGTAAGACCGTTGAAAAACTTTACAAGGCTGTGCTGGTTTAGGATTGTTTCTTATGTGGTTGTCGAATCAACAAAATATACAGTACATGGAGAACTCGAATATTGGCTTACACAGATAATTCCCATCTAATGTTTTGCCTATAATGCTCAAATACTTAAAATGAAGTGAAGGCATTCCACGATAGCTGACTATAATTATTGTAGAAAATGCTGGGTGGTCAAGTAACGTCTTGGATTATAATCGAGAATTTCACTCAAGGATGAATGTTGTAATGTGATTGAGTATTCCGAAAAGGATGTCAATCGCTTGCACGTACTTTACCTCTGCTAAAAAAATTTCTTCCATTTTGTAAGTTTGCCCATTGTAGAATGTGGGATTTTAATTGCAACATGCTGTTTCTAAGTCTGTGTTTAATGTGATATCCACACCCGACACAATAACATACGGTCATTTTATTTTGATCCACGTTTTAGTCAAAATTTGATTGCATTTGCATTCACGAGGGCTTTGTTGTAGAGTATCTAAGTTGCAGTGGTTCAGGGTGCTTCAAAATTCATAGTAGTTTTGCAGGTGATAGCAAGAAGGCTGTTGGAATCAAAACAAAATACACCTCATCTATATTTATCCTCAGGTTTTAAAACTTCTATTGACTAGTGACATGTTTTACTGTCACGAATTTATGCTCTGAAATATTTGATGTTTTCTGACAGATGTTATACTGGATCCTCTTCTATCTTTCAGAAAGGAGCTTAAAGGTATAAGATTCAAATTTCAGCCTCATCACTCTTTGTTTTAAAGCATTATGATGAATAGGGTTCCGCCCTTCTATGTGTTACAGCAAAATACGATGTCAAAGTGTCCGTGAACGACATTGTCATCAAGGCTGTTGCAATTGCATTGAGAAATGTACCTGAAGCAAATGGTAAGATGTTTCTAATCATTTACTGGTCCAAACTATATTTTCTGGTGACAAGGTGATTTGATGATGGTCAGTTGCTTGTTGATAAGCAGATTCAGCCATAAAGGTCTAATCGCAAATTGCTAGTGTTCTTACGTTTTAAATGAATCCTTTCCCACTTTAGTTGTTGTTTTATGCTCTACCAAAATGTTCTTCACACCAAATACATGATTGGCATGTTAGAAATCCTCTCTGGTGTACTCATGAAAAGGAAGAAAGAAAGAAACTTTTTTTCCTGTTATGGTTTCATTGAATATATTTTCTGCTGAAGCTCAATGTTGTGTTGCATTGTCATAAGTCATTGGAAAACATGATTTCTCCAGCCAACAAAGCCTAGAGGTTATTACGATGATGGTCCATGTCTCACTCCAAGTTTCCCTTTCTATGGCATACAATATCCGAGTGGAAAGAATAAAAATATTCCTTTTTCTTTTTCTCTAATAGTTGTTGTTCTCATGGCATCGTGCTTAGGTTCCAGTGCTTGTTGCAATGGCAAATGTCAGGTTTCAAAGCATGAGAAAGTGGGTATGAAAATTAGGGCAGCCACTTTGCAAATAATGGCAAAGGCTTGGTGCAATAGGTGACGGGCNAGGAAGAAAGAAAGAAACTTTTTTTCCTGTTATGGTTTCATTGAATATATTTTCTGCTGAAGCTCAATGTTGTGTTGAATTGTCATAAGTCATTGGAAAACATGATTTCCCCAGCCAACAAAGCCTAGAGGTTATTACGGTGATGGTCCATGTCTCACTCCAAGTTCCCTTTCTATGGCATACAATATCCGAGTGGAAAGAATAAAAATATTCCTTTTTCTTTTTCTCTAATAGTTGTTGTTCTCATGGCATCGTGCTTAGGTTCCAGTGCTTGTTGCAATGGCAAATGTCAGGTTTCAAAGCATGAGAAAGTGGGTATGAAAATTAGGGCAGCCACTTTGCAAATAATGGCAAAGGCTTGGTGCAATAGGTGACGGGCCTCTAACTTCGTGCCCATGCTTCTAAGCCGGGGTAACTTGGGAATTGGGATTAATGATATCTGATCAGAGATGAGAACTTTATGAACATGCAACAGGAATACTAAAATTTAGTTGAAGGGAATTTTAATTTGTTGATTGTGTGAGGATTCCTTTATGGGTCCTCTATTCTGCAATGTGTACGATTAATTTATACTACTTATAAATGTCTGCATTTGTGAAAAACTTTTGATTTCCTAATTTATTCCTAATTATTATTATTATAAAGTAAATTCTACCCATATATTACTTTCATCTGATTTTTATTTTTAATAACTATTTGACTTCTAAGTTCTTTTGGACTCTTTTATTAGTAACATTTAACTTACAAATTGTTGTGGACTCATTTATTAGTAGTACACTTACATATAGTTTCTATATCAATANACAGCCACTTTGCAAATAATGGCAAAGGCTTGGTGCAATAGGTGACGGGCCTCTAACTTCGTGCCCATGCTTCTAAGCCGGGGTAACTTGGGAATTGGGATTAATGATATCTGATCAGAGATGAGAACTTTATGAACATGCAACAGGAATACTAAAATTNGAGAGCAAAGCACATTTTCCTCAAAGTTTTCCTTGGCAAAGATAATTGGAATCCTTTCTTCGTCGGGTGCTTCCTCCAAAAATTGTTTTCTTTGAGTTTTTTGTCGCTTTTGTATCCTGCAGTTATGCTTTGGCACATCATTGTGGCTTGCTTTCCAATTATTTTCAGCGTTCATTGTCAATCCTGATCAATAGTTTTCGTAAACATTTAGTTCCGTGATGTCAATTTTGAATGGAATAACTGGACAGTTCTGATAAAAATATCCTTGATTCATGACTTCTTAAACNTTGTGAAAAACTTTTGATTTCCTAATTTATTCCTAATTATTATTATTATAAAGTCAATTCTACCCATATATTACTTTCATCTGATTTTTATTTTTAATAACTATTTGACTTCTAAGTTCTTTTGGACTCTTTTATTAGTAACATTTAACTTACAAATTGTTGTGGACTCATTTATTAGTAGTACACTTACATATAGTTTCTATATCAATATCTATTTATATAAAAANATAAACACCATGTGCACTTTGTTATTTTCAGATTTTTGTAAAAGGTTTTTTTATTATTTTTTGAAACTATTTCTATTATATAAAAGGAAATATTTTATTTATGTTAGAGTTCTTAATTTCTATATTAGACATAAGTTAATTAGTCTATTGTAATATTGTAATTACCTTAATATTGTTCAGTTATAAATAGAGAGTGTCGGGCAACCTAGTCACTATAACTGATTATTCTTTCTTTCTCTGCCTCTCATTATGTCTCCTCTTATTCTCTCGTAAGCCTAACCCTAATATCACTTTAGTATTTCAAATTGGTATTAGAGCAATCNTCATGATGTCAAATGCGAGGCACATTTGGCAATGTTGACTTAAAACGGTTGAGAAACCATACTTGGAGATTGAAAAATCCTGAAAGTAAGGAAAGCTTGGCAAATGCATTTAACCATCCTAACACGCATTTTTCATCATTAGTGACTTATTGAAAAACGAAGATTGTTATTTAAAGCTTTATTGCACAGCTGAATTCAAATAGCATCTGAGCCCATAGTTTTATTTGAGTTTCTTTGATTGCAAAGTATGAATACAACTACATATCTTAAGAAGTGTTTCTGTATTCTGTTTATGCAAATGCTCGAATTTATAAAGACCAACTTGAAAGGTTAATTATATTAGAGCATCCAACTCAAAACCAATAGGCAATGAGTGGAGTGGCCATTCAATTATCTAAACCAATCTTGGTGGTCCAAATTATTCGACGTGGGATACAAGTTCTCTTAATACCCTCCCTCACGTGGGACCCGGACTCGCATGTGGGGTCAACAAATAAACAAATGCATACTGAAAAATTCAAATAAGTAGGAGACTTCGCCCACCGACCTGGGCACAACTCTGATACTATTAAAGCATCCAACACAACCTATTGGCAATGAGTGGATATATAAACCAATCTTACGGGGCCTAATTATTCGATNATAAACCAATCTTGGTGGTCCAAATTATTCGACGTGGGATACAAGTTTTCTTAATACCCTCCCTTACGTGGGACTCGGACTCGCATGTGGGGTCAACAAATAAACAAATGCATACCGAAAAATTCAAATAGGTAGGAGACTTCGCCCACCGACCTGGGCACAATTCTGATACTATTAAAGCATCCAACACAAAACCTATTGGCAATGAGTGGATATATAAACCAATCTTACGGGGCCTAATTATTCGATACGGAATACAAGCTCTCTTAACAAATTATACCATGCTGGCTCTTTTACAATTTTACCATTACACTAGATAGTGGCCCTAAAAAGAACACTACTCATTTTGGCCCCCTTTAACCGAGGGTGCTTGGAGGGACGGACTAGGTAGAGACTTCAAAGACATTTGTACAAAGTGACTGCTCTCATACCTAATCAGACCAGCTTTGCTTAGTTATAATATTTGACACCTGTCTAATAAGCTGTCACGATTGGTCAGCTTCCAGGCACTGAATTATCTGTTAAGAGTTCGATTGAGCAAAAAGAGAAAATGCTCTCAATTCGTGAATATCATAGCTCACTACAAATGNCCCCCTTTAACCGAGGATGCTTGGAGGGACGGACTATGTAGAGACTTCAAAGACATTTGTACAAAGTGACTGCCCTCAGACCTAATCAGCCCAGCTTTGCTTAGTTATAATATTTGACACCTGTCTACTAAGCTGTCACGATTGGTCAGCTTCCAGGCACTGAATTATCTGTTAAGAGTTCAATTGAGCAAAAAGAGAAAATGCTCTCAATTCGTGAATATCATAGCTCACTACAAATGTTGCGAGGGATAACTCTATGGAACACCATCTAGAACTATTTACAGCCCGTTAATGATTTCTCTTGGAAGATGAATATGAGCATTGGGGCATCATCTCCATTTACTTTTTCTTCTCTGTATTATAGTTCTATAAAATGGTAAAGTCAATGAGTTTTGCTATTAGGCCACTCCATTGGTATACCTGTTTGGTCATCTGTTACTTTCTCATCGTTGAATTTCCTATTTATGCTATGTGGATATATTTCATCATTCTTTCATATTAGTACTTTCCATGAGAAATTTGCATGCCTATAATTGACTGTAAATACATGACAGCTTACTGGAATGCTGAGAAAGGAGAAGTCATTTTTTGTGATTCCGTTGACATATCAATAGCAGTTGCTACTGAGAAGGTATTCTGGGGACACTTTAATTTGTTTGTTTTAAGGATTTGAAGATTTCCTGGTCTAATTATATATTTTGTTCATCGTGCAGGGCTTGATGACGCCTATTGTGAGGAATGCAGATCAGAAATCTATATCATCAATTTCCTTAGAGGTATTTAATAAGTGAAGTTCTTAAGATGGATAGTGGATTGGTAGATTTGTTTTGGGTATATAAGAAAATTATGCTGGAATGTCCTTGCACCACAGGCTTACAAATTGTTTGCCTACAAGCAACAATTTCATAAAAATTAATGTTGTTTAAGATCAAATGCCAATTTCATTACTTGAAAGTCAATGCAAATCAGACGCTAATTTTATTTATTTACTCTGAAAAGACTTTGTTACTTCAAATTGGAGTTGCATTTCTTAAAGTCCATTATAATGTTTGACTTATTAACCAAGTAAATGCCAATTTGTAGTTGTTAATTTTTGCATTCTTTATTGTATGGTTGCCATCTAGGAGCATAGACACGTAATTTTTGGCCAGAATGTTGGTGTCAGACACGTCTCGGACATAGACACGCTTAAATGAGCGTCCGGTTTTTTTATTGTCTTATTTTTTTTCATACATGGTGGGGACACGCGACCGATACGTCAGAGATCATGTTTTGGGTTTTTTTTTTTCAAATTTTTCAAAACTTGTCGAATAACCTTATAAATGGGAGAATTTTTTTTTGTAATGTTAAAGAGATAAGGGTCAAAGATATGTAATAAAAGAGTTACAATCACTACACAAACATAGGACATAGATATAAATATAATTTTGGACATGATTAAGAAATTATATACAAATGGAATAAAAATTTTATATGAAATTAATTTAATAAAAAATAGGATTATGAAATTAGGGTTCTTTGAAATTGAATAAAAATTTGGATTCCGAAGTGAAACATTTTTGAAAATAAAAATTGTAACAGTCATTGATTGTTGAATCATGAAAGTGTATCAGTATATCTGGGTTTTTTTTATTCGATGATATCGTGAAGTGAATTGTTAGAATTAAGAAAAAAATGAATTAGATGGTATCCTTAAAATATATTTATTTTATCATATGATCATATAAATACATATGTATGTGTGTGTGTGTGTGTGTCTATATATAATATTTAGCGAGTCCCCTAACGTGTCCACGTTCTACTTTTTAAAAAGTAGCGTGTCTGTATCATGTCGTAGCCGTGTCCCTGTCTGTGTTCATGCTTCTTAGGTTGCCATAATCGAACTCAAGGAATATGGCATCAGCAACATGTCAAATGATAGTTGATCATTTCAAATGTTAAAAATTGAGATGTTAGAAACTAAGCATCACACAACTTAATCAACATGAAATCTGCAATAGATCAAATGAGTAGTTGATCAATCTAATTTTTGGTTGAGATTCACAGTATTTTAGTTTAATATNTGTTAGAAACTAAGCATCACACAACTTAATCAACATGAAATCTGCAATAGATCAAATGAGTAGTTGATCAATCTAATTTTAGGTTGAGATTCACAGTATTTTAGTTTAATAAGTTTTATCAGTTTATTCACTGTTTTATTTGTGGAAAGCAACTTCATTTTTCCTAATAGTTCTATTTTTCATGATTCACACACTAAAAGGTCAAGGAACTTGCTGAAAAAGCAAGAGTGGGGAAGCTCACGCCAAATGAGTTCCAGGGTGGCACATTCAGGTGAAAACATAATACCATTAAATTTTGTGGCACTGGATTTCAATTGTCACCCCCATAGACTTTTTTGTCAATAAACAAGGCATCACAAATTTTATTATCTTTATGTAGCATTTCAAACTTGGGAATGTTTCCAGTGGACCATTTTTGTGCAATCATAAATCCCCCACAGGTACTCTCTTTTTTTCACTCTCACATTTTCCACCTTAATTGTAGTAATCTTTATGTGCTTTATAAAATCAGTGAACAGAAAAGTTATTTTATTGTATCTGATTTAGCAGTACCTTTCCAGCAGAACCTAGATAGGGTTTTATTTTTTTTAACTTTTATTCTTTCTTGCTTCTTTTTTTTTTTTGGTGGGTGAGATGTTAAGATGTCAGTCAGTTACCATTTTATTTAACTTGGTCATTTCTTTCTTTCAGGCTGGCATTCTCGCTGTCGGTAGAGGAAACCAAGTTGTTGAACCTGTGGTGGGGAGCGATGGTATGATATCTGTCACTCGTTGGATATGCTCACTAGTATTGGCACTTTTTGGTTACTAATGTAACTTGGATTTACTTTTGGCCCAGGAATTGAGAAGCCTGCTGTTGTCACAAAAATGAATTTAACACTATCAGCTGATCATCGCGTTTTTGATGGAAAAGTTGGAGGTAAGTAATGCTGCAAAGATTTTGTCACAGTACAAAATCAATCATGACCTTATGTAGTGGGATATATTGTGGATGATCAGTGTGCCTTTGTTGTCCTCTAAAGTTGAAGGTACTGGGGGGTGCATTCCTGAAAGCTTCAGCTTCACGTAACTACTAGAGTGATGGTAAATTATGGAACACAGGGCACTGCTCAAAATAAAAGAATCAAAACAGTATGCTCCTGCTTTTGATTAGACAGGAATTCTTGTGGCTATGTGGCCGAATGTGATATGAAAATTTCATAAACCAGGAGTAATATAACTAAACACATAGCGAGATTTTCAACTAGTAAGCCAAACAGTTATTATAAATCTGAAGGAAAATTTCTCTCATCGGTACCCTTAATATACAGAACAATAGTTCATAAGCTTCAGTTTTTCACAGCTCACCAATTGTATCATTGGCCATATAGAAGTGATCAACTCACAAATTGGCACATACTGGGCGCTAGGAGTGCCATAATAGCTAAAATCCACACTATCCATATTCTTAGGATGCTTGCTCCTGAATATAATTTTTTTACTTTTTTTTCCTTTTCTTTCTTTCTTTCTTTGTTGGCAGGTGCATTCATTGCAGCTTTACAATCGAACTTTAGAGATATTGGAAGACTTCTTTTGTAATAGCCTAAGATATGACCTCAAAAGTTATCGACTGTATCCACCGGAGGGCAGCAATTCCGCAATTGTTGGTGAGCACCTGACTAAACCCTTGTTCGGTTATATCAGCTTGAATTATATATTTCACGGATTTTTACGCTTTTTAACACTACCGAATTGCTCAGGCTTCCAAAAGCTGGGGGAATTTGAAGATTTGTAGGTATCAATTGTTCTGAGGTTTTTTTATTTTACCTCGGATAATGCAGCAGTTTGTGTTTTCTTGTAGAAATAATGTACAAGCAAGTCAGGGACGTANATGATCAGTGTGCCTTTGTTGTCCTCTAAAGTTGACGGTACTGGGGGGTGCATTCCTGAAAGCTTCAGCTTCACGTAACTACTAGAGTGATGGTAAATTATGGAACACAGGGCACTGCTCAAAATAAAAGAATCAAAACAGTATGCTCCTGCTTTTGATTAGACAGGAATTCTTGTGGCTATGTGGCCAAATGTGATATGAAAATTTCATAAACCAGGAGTAATATAACTAAACACATAGCGAGATTTTCAACTAGTGAGCCAAACAGTTATTATAAATCTGAAGGAAAATTTCTCTCATCGGTACCCTTAATATACAGAACAATAGTTCATAAGCTTCTGTTTTTCACAGCTCACCAATTGTATCATTGGCCATATAGAAGTGATCAACTCACAAATTGGCACATACTGGGCGCTAGGAGTGCTATAATAGCTAAAATCCACACTATCCATATTCTTAGGATGCTTGCTCCTGAATATAATTTTTTATTTTTTTTTCCTTTTCTTTCTTTCTTTCTTTGTTGGCAGGTGCATTCATTGCAGCTTTACAATCGAACTTTAGAGATATTGGAAGACTTCTTTTGTAATAGCCTAAGATATGACCTCAAAAGTTATCGACTGTATCCACCGGAGGGCAGCAATTCCGCAATTGTTGGTGAGCACCTGACTAAACCCTTGTTCGGTTATATCAGCTTGAATTATATATTTCACGGATTTTTACGCTTTTTAACACTACCGAATTGCTCAGGCTTCCAAAAGCTGGGGGAATTTGAAGATTTGTAGGTATCAATTGTTCTGAGGTTTTTTTATTTTACCTCGGATAATGCAGCAGTTTGTGTTTTCTTGTNGATCTGTTAGAGACGGCTGTTTTTAGCGAATTTCAAAATTGAACCAACAACAACCAAAAGTGCTCTGTTGACCTATCCTTATTTTATGCAGATAAACTTAGGTTATCAGTCCAGTTGTTGAGGGTACATGATGTGTTTCATGTGTCAATGCTAAGAAAGTGCAAATCCGATACAACATATGTTGTGGATTTGGAAGGAATTGAAATTCAAGATAGAATAGCATATGAAGAACAACCAGTAAAGATTCTCGATACCAAAGATGACGAAAATGTCGCTAACTATGTCATTTTTTTGGGGTGGCATCCTTGAAAGCTAAAGGTTCATACCATTGAGGACCAAACCCAGCAGCTCTCCTCGCTGCCTCGTTAAAAGGAGGTTTCAATGGCCCCCTGAAGTGCGTCCTCACTATTGCGTGGAACTTCTGAATCATTTCTTCATTTTCTTCAAATGTAGTGTCATTTTCTTGGGATCTTTTTTCTGGAGAATCCAAGATATTACCACCTGAAATAGGGTATCTAGACCTCAAACAACAATACCTAAACCACTTCACCCCAGCAGCACAATGGGTAATCTCTTCTGGGTAAACCACATTCTCCGGTAAGCAAGCAGTCTGGCTATCACCTCCATTGCGGAAACGAGAGATGGTTGTGGGCAGCACATCAAGTCCTCTAGCCTGCCACCCAATTCTACGAGTTAATAGCAGCATTTAACAAATGGAGTCTTCAGTTATGATACATTAATGAAAGAAATCTGTGATGGAAAACATCACATTTGAAAGCATTCTTTTAGTTTTTCATATTCTCAGAAACTAGTCCACTCCATCATGTGGACAAAAAATACTTCAAGAATTTTATCACTTATCTTTTCGGCAAATCAGATTCTACCCCTTGTGGTATGCTCATTTAGCACTAACCCCTNTTGCACCACAGGCTTACAAATTGTTTGCCTACAAGCAACAATTTCATAAAAGTTAATGTTGTTTAAGATCAAATGCCAATTTCATTACTTGAAAGTCAATGCAAATCAGACACTAATTTTATTTATTTACTCTGAAAAGACTTTGTTACTTCAAATTGGAGTTGCATTTCTTAAAGTCCATTATAATGTTTGAATTATTAACCAAGTAAATGCCAATTTGTAGTTGTTAATTTTTGCATTCTTTATTGTATNACCCTTATTGTCAGCCTTCGCAAAAAATGTTGAACATAATGAAAGATGCAGGTCATATCGTGGCATTGTGGAAACATATCGACCGATTCGGTAACAATAACTCAACAACTTAGGATTGACTTGGATACAACTTGGATGACTCGGTTCAATAGTGCGAAACTCAAGGTTTATAAGCATCGTGTAATGGTATCATTATAGAAGGTGCCAAGTTGGATATGACTCAGACGACTCGTATCACTATCGGTCAATACTTTGAACCATGAATGTCAACCATTGTTAATCAGGGAACCAGTCTGGATGATACTCTTACTTTAGGAANAGACACGCCTCGGACATAGACACGCTAAAATGAGCGTTTGGTTTTTTTATTGTCTTATTTTTTTTCATACATGGTGGGGACACGCGACCGATACGTCAGAGAACATGTTTTGGGTTTTTTTTTTTTCAAATTTTTCAAAACTTGTCGAATAACCTTATAAATGGGAGAATTTTTGTTTGTAATGTTAAAGAGATAAGGGTCAAAGATATGTAATAAAAGAGTTACAATCACTNCCCCTTATTGTCAGCCTTCGCAAAAAATGTTGAACATAATGAAAAATGCAGGTCATATCGTGGCATTGTGGAACCATATCGACCGATTCGGTAACAATAACTCAACAACTTAGGATTGACTTGGATACAACTTGGACGACTCGGTTCAATAGTGCGAAACTCAGGGTTTATAAGCATCGTGTAATGGTATCATTATAGAAGGTGCCAAGTTGGATATGACTCGGACGACTCGTATCAGTATCGGTCAATACTTTGAACCACGAATGTCAACCATTGTTAATCAGGGAACCAGTCTGGATGATACTCTTACTTTAGGAAAACGCAATCCTCAACTCATTTTTATATTGCATCCAGGGTCTAATGAGATGCCACTACATCATGTCCATGGTGGACGGGCAGAAATAAAACAGCCTAGTGTGAACTCAATCTCACCAGTACCTACTATATATGCAGCTTATGCACATCCTTTTAGGTCTTCACTTGAAAAACCGTTCCAACAGCTGCATCAAGTACCACCACAAATTTGTTTAGAGGACATAACTTGAGTAGAGCTCTAGAATTTCAGAGGGAAATGTGGTGAATCCTTGCAACATTATTGTGTAACCGCCAACTACAGAACATGGACAACCAGCATGTTTTTCCAACTTCAGAGGAAGAAATTGCATTGTCAGTTGAATGCAACATGGTAATCACCCAATGAAGAGTTCTCGACCATATAATCCTCTTCCTAATGATGATGATGCTCACGAAAAAGACAAGGTAATGACGATTTTTCCGTATCCCCCACTTTCCTACCACCTTGAAGTGAGCAGAGAGTTTAAAAACACTATTTTCTAGTCTTTGAAACCCTTTTTTTTTCCAGGTAACCCTCTCTTCCTCCCCTGATCTGTTTTTGTCTGATGCGAATCAGATGTTATAGGTATGAAGGGCATTTTGCTCTTACTATTAATGGAGTCAGCTGTTCACATACATCTAAAACTACACGAGGGTTAAGTGGCTGTAGTCAAACCATTACGGAGTGAAGTACAAAATGGGTGTACCACAGGGGATAAAATAATAAAACCATGTTCCAGGTAACCATGTTAACAAAATTAGTCTATGTATCAAGATGACTGGTATATTATATTGGCATAGATATGAGAAATCAAAAGAAAACAAAAGAAATAAAAGTATGAGGATGATCGCATCTAGATAAGTTATGAAATTGAATTTGGATTTAAAAAAAACAGTTTGGCATAACTAATCACACCTCATGGACGCAGTGCTCGACTGCTAGGCATGCCAACAGGTCTTTAGAAGTAGCGATAGCTGAATCCCAAAGACCATCATGAGCCGGAAATGCTCCATAGAAAGATCCCATTTCCTCAAGTCTTGCAGCAAGAAGGGTGAAGTGACGACCTTCGTCTTGTGCCACCTTCACAAAATCAGTGAAGAATTCTCTTGGCATTGCCTCTTGCTTACCAAAACGGGCAATTATATCCTATAAGGAATAAGGCCTTAACGAGGATACTGAGGCAGATGTATCGAAATTAAAGAAAAAACATCAAGAAAAAAATATTGACTTGTTAAGAGTCAGAAGGTATCATTCACTAGAAATCAATCACAAAAGAGACAATCATATGGCATGGCTTAGGCAAATCACAAGTAACAAATACTATACAATGATGGTAAGTTCTATGATATAAACTAGTGATGCTAAAAGTACGAGAGAAGATCGATTGGAGTTTTAAAGGCATCTTGGCACTGCAGGGTAAGCCTTACCCAGCACACGGAGAGGCCAAACAGACTATTATCAAATGCAATTGTTGGAAAGAAATTGTTATATCGTTGGTAAAAAGTTATTTGGATTTATGTTTCACAATCAGAATTTAATATCAAATAAACAAGCAAATATATCAAGTAAACAAAATAGAAATTCAGATCAAGATAAGCTTAAAATAGATTGGATCGAGGCATGCCAAAAGCATTGTCCTAAGAAAAGATACACCCACTCTGCATAGAATTTTTCGGCGTTCTTTTCCCAAGATATAACAATCCAAGTGAAGCTATGGTGCAGGCGTAAATCTCTCTATTGCAAACAATCACCACCTAATTTGTCCAGAAAATCACATTAAATGATACAACAAAATAGTGAGTTATAGTATGAGAATTGTACTGAGAAATTATATCTGTGTGTATCCAAAATCAAGAGCCTTCAAAATCAGTAGTAGTGATAGCCTTATATAAGCTGCTCTCAAACGGCTATAGTGATGATGATGATTTTACTATACTAATGGCTTCAATGTTCAACACCATTCAACGTTAAAAGGAAAAGCATAAATAATGTTTGATGATGACATGCATATATTATATTATATATATGTGTGAATGTGAACGTTTTTAAAGAATCCTATGAAATATAAATAATGATAACATTATTGTGGTAGGGTAAAAATTATTCAAAAAATTACTTTTAATATTAAATTATTCTAACAATCCCCCACATAATTTAAAATTAAAAGGAAATTAGACAATAAAATTTGGGTAACAATACCATGCAATGGGTGACAGGTGCCTTTTGGACTTGAACCTTCACTTAACCTAACAAGCTTCCATTTGAAAGAATCATAGTGAACAAGCCTTGAACTAGATTCTTTGACTCAGATTTCTATTGTCAAACACATGGTACGTGTTTTAGATCAAGTTCTAATCAGTTTTGCGCTCTTATGATCATGTGCGTGTATCTTGATTTTCATGTATGTTCTAATAAGGATTAGCCTATATCCCGTAGTAGCAGTCTCACTACAAAGATACATATAGGTGAGTCCTCCAAGAGTATTCTATGATCAATATCCTGCAGCATCCTACCTTGGCCTCATTCTGAGATTTACTCTTCCTTTTATTATCATCACAGTTTATAGCACTGTCACCTTTGAAATGGGATCCGGGAATTTTCCCTTTTAAGTGATCCCACAGATCGCAAATCTGTTACTGGTTTCTTTANTTTTTATTATCATCACAGTTTATAGCACTGTCACCTTTGAAATGGGATCAGGGAATTTTCCCTTTTAAGTGATCCCACAGATCGCAAATCTGTTACTGGTTTCTTTATCTTTTTGGGTGATTCTCTTATTTCTTGGAAGAGCAAGAAACAATCTATTGTTTCTCAATCTTCAACCGAAGCAGAATATCGTACTATGACATCTACTACCAAAGAGATTGTTTGATTACGTTAGTTACTTGCAGATATGAGAGTTTCTCTTTCTCATCTCACTCCTATGTATTGTGATAACCAGAGTTTTATTCAGATTGCTCACAACATAGTCATTCTACAGCTTTGTTCTTACCTATTGAACCTTCTTCATGGCATCTCCAATCATAAAGGTTACGTGTCCAATGTGATGACTAACTTATAGGCTTCAGTCTCATTTCCCTCGATGAATCTTGAACTAACTTTTGCTAAACCTCTAATAAGATGGTCCACCGTTGTGGTTCCCTATTTCTTTAGACCTCTCAAGTCAGCTACGCAACAATATATATTTTTTTTTAATTTCATAAATCTCACGGAACCATATAATTCATGGACCCATCATATAAATGGTCCATTTTTCTTTAAATCGAGGTAGCAAACAATTGGAGCTATAGGGTCAAAAACTTTTTNGGTCAACTACGCAACAATATATATTTTTTTTCAATTTCATAAATCTCACGGAACCATATAATTCATGGACCCATCATATAAATGGTCCATTTTTCTTTAAATCGAGGTAGCAAACAATTGGAGCTATAGGGTCAAAAACTTTTTCCCAATAGAGCAAGATATTTGGGTCCCATTTCTATTATATTGAGGCAACAAGAACTCCAAGGTCACAATTGAATAATTGAGAAAATCGATTTATTTCCACAAAAAGTTTCCAAAACAAACATGGGCCAATTTTCCTTCAAGGCACACACATACTCAGGTCAATATATTGGGTCTTAGAATCCTTCAATACATAGCCAGTAGCCTTACTATTAGTTGCCACAAAATTTCAGTGACCAATAGTCTACTAGTAGAAATTACTATTAAATTGTGGCTAGTAGTATCTCACTTACTAGAACCACCTATATAATAAGATAATTAGGTGTTTGAACTTATGGGGGGTATATTTTTCCCTCCAAATTTCACACACTTTCCCTCCCAAATTTCACAAACTCAACACAAATACTCCACAACACATAGTTACACATACTTCAATTCACACTCACTACACACACACATTATATATACACTCCAGTTGTATACACACACTCCAATACACGCATAGTGTCATAGTTTAATATTGAGTGACTTCAATCACGGGGTATCGCTAGTTTTTAAATATGGTCGGTAGTCTTTAATCTATTAGGAACCATTTATAATTGTGGTCAGTAGCCTTTTTATCTACGAGGAACCACTGTCCTCAATTGCACCGAGTCACAAATTGATAATATGTTACCCCCACATTCCAAGGAAGGTCATCTTCACTAGTAAGACACGTTATTAGCAAAAACAAGATGGAAATTAATTTTCCTTCTCAAACATCATANTTCATCTTCACTAGTAAGACACATTATTAGCAAAAACAAGATGGAAATTAATTTTCCTTCTCAAACATCATACTCACACATATACCCATCAAACCCACATTTATCAAGTTTCTCAAAACGACATGGAACTTCCCCATAATTTATTTAGCCCCACAATCAATATCTTTTCCAATATTATTAGCAACTTTTTGATAGACCTTATCGAAACTCATCACGATTAAAATGCCATCAAAAATGAATTCACCAATAAATAATCACATATATTGTCACATCATGCTATGAATAATGATTTTGAAAATTTAGTTTGTGGGCGTTTAAACCCCATATTTATTATGATGATTTTGAAAATTTAGTTTTTTTTCCAAAATAAAATTTAAACTCACTATATATGTATACATAATTAAAAACTTATATCCACATTTTAATTTCAAAACCGGCTAATGTCAAATAATCTCTTGCTTAATTTAAAGTTTACTCCCACATGAGTATTCGTTTCAAAAATAATTCCAACAAGTGGTTGACAATCACACTTAATATGTGCCCACATAGCAGAATTATCTCAAAATTTACTTTCCCATAAGTGATGTAAAACAATCATGAAGGTACACTATAACAATCAATTTTAAAGTTTATAGTGTAACCATATACAAGTCTTTAACATTTGGCCACACAATCAAAACTGAAAGTGTAGCTGGATGCATGCATTTATCATTTATTGGCGTGTGAGCCGCCTAAGGGCAGTGTACTATTGTTTGTGGGCTTCAATAGTAATTAACCTATTTTAGCAATACAGATTAAACTCAATATATCTTTATTCTTGTGGTCTAAGCATGCCTTGGAATTGAACTTTTTTCTATTTTGACTCTTGAACGTAGCCATCAAAACTAATCAACTTACCCACTTTACAGTGCACACACCAACAAAATAAGCTTTACACGTTTTCTATCTATGCACACACTACATATGCATTGTCATGCTTAAAGAACATAATTCATTTGCACATGGATAATTAAAACAAATCCAGCACATAATATAATAAGATTTATGTTATTTGGATTTATGTTTCACAGTTAGATTTTAATATCAAATAAACAAGTAAATATATCAAGTAAACAAAATAGAAATTTAGATCAAGGTAAGTTTAGAATAGCTTGGATTGATACACAAAGTTTTCCAGCGTTCTTTTCCCAAGATACAACAATCCCATAAAAGTTACGGTGCAGGTGTAAACCTCTCTATTACGAACAATCACCACCTAAATTATCCAAAAAATCATATAAATGATACAACAAAATAGTGAGTTATAGTATAAAAATTGTACTGAGAAATTATATCTGTGTGTATCCAAAATCAAGAACCTTAAAAAATGAGTAATTAGAGCCGTTACTTCCTAACTGCTATAGTGATGATGATGATTTTACTCCACCAGTGGCTTGAACGTTCAACACCATTCAATGTTAATAGGAAAAGCATTAATAATGTTTGACGATGACATGTATATATTATATTATATATGTGTGTGTGAATGTGAACTTTTTTGAAGAATTCTATGAAATATAAATAATGATAATATTTCTGTGGCGGGGTATGCATAATAATTATTTAAAACTTTATTTTTAATATTAAATTATTCTAACAGCAATTTCAGAAAGCTGAAATTGACGAATATTGAATAAGAGAAGCACATTCATATAACCAAACTACCTCCATATGGCATAGTTTAAACATGAATGAATCCTAATTTCCTTTTTGGATTCAAAGCAAATGACCAACATTAGTTCGATAACTTTACCAAACACCCCTATGGAATTGCATAGGGGTGTGTGTGTGTTTATACATAGAATGATCCCTTTCACCTTGTACTGTTTTGATAATATTCCCGGCAGAATTTTTCATACCAAAAAAGAGTTGAAGAGAATACCCAAGATAAGTC